GCAGCCAGTGCTCCAAATCTTGAGGCTCCTTGCAGCACAGTGGACAGATTGGTTCCGATCTTTTGTCTGTTCTATTTTTGTAGGCCCGCAGCCCAGAGAAGTGACCGGTCCTGATTTTTGCCAGTAAGGACTGGTCACTGCGAGACTTAAATTGACTCTCGTTTTAAGGAAATTGCCCTGTATATTTCCTTCGTCCGCGTGTCATGTTGTCATTGCTGTAGTTTTCGACTCCGATGCTGTCTTTGAAGTTACTATTGTTGTAACAGGTTTTATCTGACTGAAAAGTTGATGGTGATGGTGGTGATATCAATTGTTATTTGTTATTGTTGTTGCTGTTGTGGGAGGAAGGGTTTCTTGTTGCTGTTGTTGTTGTTGTTGTTGTTGTTGTTGTTGTTGTTGTTGTTGTTGTTGTGCGAGCGTGTGTGTGTGTGTGTGTATGTGTATGTGTGTGTGTGTGTGATGTGTATGTGTGTGTAGGTGTATATGTATGTGTGTGTTTGTGTCTGTGTGTGTACTTGTCTAATATTTGTGTGTATGTATCAGTCTGTCAGTCTGTCTGTCTGTCTGTCTGTCTGTCTGTCTGTCTGTCTGTCTGTCTGTCTGTCTGTCTGTCTGTCTGTCTATCTGGCCAGCGGATCTGTGCAAAGGAATCAATAACAATTTTTGTTGCGGCTATCTGCGACCCAGAGTATTGAATCCTGAGTATGGTGTGTTCTTGTAATGCGGTGTACAGACCTATACATCCACATCATGAAGCAAAAACCAGTGTTAATCTCTTTCACGATGATCAATGACATAGGTACTGTTATCTTATTTTGTCTGCGCGCTCATATGACCGCTTGCAATTGCTACCACCGTCAAACTCTCATCACTAAACAGTCATAAACATTGTCTTGTCTTATCGTCATACAACAAAACATCGTAACTGGGTTTGTTTTTTTAACCACATACAACAGCAGTATTATAAAATCATCATGTCATTTGTTGCTTTGTTATGTTTGTTTTGTTTTTGTTTGTTTTTGTTTTATTTTGTTTTGTTGTTTGTTTGTTTTCTTGAGAAAAAAAAAGATACAAATCGAAGCAAAAGCGGTGATTCAGTCCTGGGAACAAGTAAGATCAGACAGACAGACAGACAGACTGGGACGAAAGAGGAAAAAAACCAGAAGTAGGGTCTTCCTGTGGCGCTCTCTAACCACCCGCATGCTAGTCTGCATTTACTTTACTTTAACACTCACTGATTTCACTTCCTTCTGTCTCTCTCACAAGTGGTTGGCTGGAGAGGGCCACTTGTGCGTCTTACTTCTTCCCCTTCGCCCTCTTTTCTGTCTGCCTTTCTGGGTTGTATTTTCCTCAGCACTAACATAATATGATCATAATAATTATGCGTCTATGGAAAAACATCAAGCGGCTGGTCCAGGATTGGGAAAGGTGGAAAGTGTTTGTTCGTGGGCTATACCCTTTTTAAAAAAAGTTTTAGTAGAGGTTTTACGATGCTCGCAACTGCAAAAGGTCATATGAGCGCCAGAAGATTAGAGGTGTTACAAGCGAGTAACAAACATAAAAAGGAAGAAGGGGAGAGAAGGACGATAGATGTTTGATAGGGAAGAAGAAGCAAACCACACCAAAGCACCCGCCA